TGTTCACAGCTTTCCCCACCTGACCTTGGGACACTGACCCCTTTAATCTTCATTGGATGGAATTTTCCCCAGAATTTTTTTGTTCCCCAATAAAAGTCCACTCCCTAGTGTGTTCTCTCCTCTCTCTCTCTCTCTCTCTCTCTCTCTCTCTCTCTCTCTCTCTCTCTCTCTCTCTCTCTCTCTCGCCTCTTCAGTAAACCTTGCTACCCTAATAGGTATCTTGAGGCTGGGGTACGAGAAGCAGTCCTGGAGCTGGTTAAAGGTAATTAGAGTCTCTCTCTGTAATTCAAACTCCCTGTGGATTTCTCAGGTAGCCGAATCTTCACTTATAAAGCCTGTGCTGGCTTGGGGTAAAAGGGACCTCGATACTGTTCTTTATAATGGTATCCTAATTTGCACTTCTACCAAACACATAGGATTTACCCGTTTACTACAAACTCGCCAGAATTTGTTGGTTTCTCTTTTTGATGGTGACCTTTCTAATTGGGATGAGGTAATATCTCGTTTTGGTTTTGAGTTACTATGTTTTCTAATACTTGATGGCCATTTCTTTCTTCTTTAGAGAAATCCTTATTCAGATCTCCAGCCCATTTTGAAAATGGACTATTTGTTTTGTTGCTGCTGTTTAGTTTTTTGAGTTTGGTTTGGTTTGGGCTTTTTGCAGTATAGGGGATTGAATTCAGGGCCTTGCACATGCAAGGCAAGCACTATACTTCTGGGCTACACCTCTGTTCTTTTTAAAATTTTTTAAATAGGGTCTTGCTAAGTTGCTATGTTAAGTCAGCTTTTTTTCTGCTGTGACTAAAGGACCTGACCAGCACAATTGTAGAAGAGAAAAGTCTGATTTGAGGGTTCATGGTTTCAGATGTCTTAGTCCATAGAAAGCTAGCTCCATTTCTCAGAGCTCAAGGTGAGGCTGAACATCATGGTAGAAGAGTGCGGTGGAAGGAAGTAGCTTATACCATGGTGATCAGGAAGCAGAGAAAGAGGGAGAGAGAGAGAGAGAGAGAGGGAAAGAGAAAGGGAGGGAGAGAGAGGGAGAGGAGGAGGGAGGGAGAGAGAGGGAGAGGAGGAGGGAGGGAGAGGGAGAGAGAGGGAGAGGAGGAGGGAGAGAGAGCAAGCTCTACTCAACAAGGACAAATTATGAACCCCAAAGCCACACTCCAGTGACCCTCTCCTCCAGCCCCCCGGCTGCACTCACCACCCGATTGGGTCAGGCTCTAATAACCTGGTCCCTTCACCTCTGAACGTCTGACATCATCTCACGCATGAGTTACTACTAAATCATAGCAGCTAGTGTAAGAATTTCCCCTGAAACACGTGGATGTCAGGTTTTGGGGGACAGCAACTCTAGCCGCAGCCTAGACTGTAAACCTCCCAAGGCAGCTGAAGACAGGAGGCTCAGAGGTGGACCCCATGGCCATGGGTCATCCAGTGCTTTATAAACAAAGCAGGCAGAATCAAGGGCCACACATGGGGTTGATGCTAACGTGTTGCTTCAACCTAGAATCATAGTGACCACGGTCACCCTATGAACCGTCACCCCCGCCCCATTACGTCCTTTAGAGGCTTCTTACCCAGGGCTGTCCCACAGAGCCCCCAGACATGCTGGCTCCCCCTTCTCCGGCAGAGTGGACAACACCTGCTGAACTTGTCCTCCTGAGGCGCTTGCTCTAGGACGGCAGGGCGGGCAGCTGAGTCCCGGGAGATGACAGATTCCCTGGCATATGGTCAGCATGTCCCTGAGGTGAGTCAGTGGTGTGTCACAGGCCGCCTGAGGGTATCGGGAGTGACTCCTCGGGGGTCCACCTCCTTAGGGTCACGATCTCCAGACCTGGCAGGAAGCGCTCCAGCTGCAGGGCACAGAGAGGACCCTAGATCCCACCGGGACAAACTGCCAGAGTCCAGCTGGAGGGTCTGGAGGACCTGTGGATGGGCCCTGAGAGCCCACCAACTGGTGACAGAGGAGGGGCGGCCATGCCCGTGCCCAGGAGTCCCGTGGACACCACTTTCCCTTCTTTTGACCACGTGTCTTTCTAGTAGAATTGCTGGTTCCTGGTGACGGGAGGTCAGCCTTTTTCTCAGCCGTCGGTCTGTTTTCCACAGTGGCCGGCCACTCCACACTCCCACTAGTCATGCACAAGTGTCCCATTTCTCTAACGTCACAGTCAACAGTTACTATTTTTCCTTTGTAAAAAACTGTAGCCGTCCTTGTGGGTGCAGAGTGGAACCTCGTTGTGGCTTGGATTTGCATTTTCCTAAGACAAAGATGTTGAATGTTTTCTCAGGTGCTCAGTGTAAATGGGTGGTTTCCTTGGAGAAGCATTTATTCAAGTCTGCTTGCCAGGGACCCTTGTCAGGTTGTCTGCACATAATGTATCCCATTCCGTGAATTGCCTTTTTGCATTGTGATAGCATCCCTAGAAACAGAAAAATTAATTTTGATAAATTCAATTTTTTTTTTTTTTTGCTGCTCAAATTTTGGAAACATTAAAGATACCATCGCCAAATCCTACACCATGAAGATTCACCCTCATGCCTTCTATGGCTCTTCAGGTTTAGCTCTTGTATTGGAGATTCTGATCCATTTTGGGTTGAGTTTTGCATGTGACATAAGGTGGGGATCCAGCCTTGTTTACTGGGCTATCCAGCTCCCCTGCATGATTTTGAACATGTGTTGTGCACTTGCAATACCACTTATGGGCAGGAGACTTGAAATGGGATGCCTGGACCCGATTCCCAACCTACCCCAGGTCCCGTGTCACCCAGTGTGCTCTCCCAGCGGGGACTTCCTCCTGCCCACGTGTCTTGTTGGCAGTGACATCTCTGCGCACTGCTGTCTGACCTCAGGCTCAGCGTTCTCATTTGTGTCACACCCCCTAGCAAAGAAGGACTTTGACAATGGTCACGTTTTCTGTTGGGGTGCTGTGGAAGGGGAGCAGGACGGGCAGTTTTAGAGGGCGATGACTTATATTTCTAACGAGCCAAGCTAACCACCTACACATTTCAGAAGAGATGGCTGACCCTGTTCCACATGACTTGAAATAGGAGGTTTTAAAACTCTGTCCATCCACACAAACTTTATTTCCTGGAGATGAAATACACCCTGAGTATCTGTTAGGGTCGGATACGAGGTGTCCCCCCAATGCTCCTGTCGATGTGGGAGTCTTCAGAGGTGAAAGCATGGATTGTGAGGACTCTATCTGTCCATCTGCTTTGAATGGGCTGACTGGGTGGTGACTGTGGGCAGGTGGGCATGGCGGAAGGGGTGGTCACAGGGGGCTGCCCTGGCAGGGGCATCTTCCCTGAGGCCCTTTCCCCCTCTGTCCCTGCACCTTCCTCCGCTGGGCCCTCCCCCCCATGACATGCTGCCTCACCTTGGGTCCAGAACAGTGGACTCGGCCACCTATGGACTGAGGCCTCTGAAACCATGAGCTGAAAATCAGCTTTCCCTCCTCCAACTTTTCTCCCTGGGTGCTCTGGTCACAGCAGGGCAACAGGTGACTAAGGCTGTGTCCACTGAGGTTTCCTAGGTCGGTTCACTCACAGGCCACACCAGCTTAGGCCAGGTCAGGGGGCATATCATGGTGTCAGTGGGTGTGTCTGCTCCCACGAGCCTGTGGCCACGTGGTCTTGTGGTCAGAGGCCCCAGGTCACACGTGGGGGCACCCGGGATCAAAACGGGTCCTACGCGTAACAGGATTTTTCCATCTGCTCTCTTAGTTTTGTGACGTCTCTGAGCCTGAGGCGGACACCTCTCGAGTCTCCCTTCTGCGATGCTCCTGGACTCACTGGAGAGGGCCACTGGCATCTGGGGAGCACCGTCCATGGCAGGATGGGCCATAGCGCAGGCCCAGCACCTGAGCAGTGTGCCATTGGAGGCGTCGGCCACAGTAGCAGCCAGTGGTCCTGCAGTGCTTCGTTTGAAGCTGGGGGGCTGGGGGGAGGGTGGTTTCAGGAGGAGAATTCAGTGTAAGGGGGCCGAGCCGGGTGGACAACCTCTTAGAACTGGGAATCAGACTGGGGAGGACTGAGCACCCGACTCAGTGAGCGTCCTGCTGAGAATCTCCAAACCCACGACAGCGGGTCTGAGGTCCCGTCACCGGGGGTGTCCGACTTCCTGATGTTGATAAAAGAAACCAAACAGGGAAAATGGGTGAACTGTCAGAAGTGAAGCTCGCTGTGCACTAAGAAGTAGTGACCGAGGCAGAAGGTGCAGGGACGAGCTGCGGTCATCTTCAGCCCAGGGGAGCATGGCCTTGGTACCGAGCCTGACTGAGTCTCAGCAAACTGCAGAGGACATGTGCCAGCTGGGATGCCGAGCACCTGGGACAGTGTCCAGAGCCAGAGGTCCCAGCAGTGTCCCTTAGATGTTCCTTTAAATTAGGGTCGAAAATGAGTCCAGGGAGGCCAGGTAAACTGGATGCTCAATTAAGATTTTAATGTAAGTCCGTCCCCAGTACTGCACAAGATCTACAGTACCAAAAACTTATTTGTTGTTTATCCACAATTCCATAACTGGGGGCATGGTAGTTTTATTTGCTGATTCTGACCATCTTGTTTTGAGTGAGTGGAGGAACGTCTAAGGGAGGGCTGAGCATCACCCAGGGACAATTCACAAGTGACCGTAACATTGTAACAACGAGAAATGCTCATCCTCCTTAAGTGAGCAAAGTAACAAGGAAGAACTATACTAGGATCAACCAGATCAGCATATTGAAAACCAGAATGTTAATATGGGTCCTATGGTGAGCCACAAATATAAGTTGCTGGTGGCAGTGTGCACTGGCACGGTTCCTTTCAAAAGGACTTTGACTATCCATAAAAACAACTGTAAAAATACAAACTACCTTAGACACAGCAGATTTGGCCCCCAGGAGCCCACCTCAAGGAAGAAGCTGAGACAAGGCACAGTTAGGATCACCCTGCCACCCGTCCCCACACAGCAGCACCAGAGGACACATTCCCAGCCTGTGGCCCATTCATGGAATGAAGCCCAGGTCCCTGCAGTGGCCACAGAGACCTTACTGTCCCCACCCAGCCCCTGCACCCGTCAGAGCCCCTGTGGCTGCTGACTGCCACCAGGGGCTGGGGACTCTGCTGCCTGGAGACCCATCTAGAGCCTGGCACAGGCTGGAGCAGGCTTGTGCCTTCATTTCCAGCCTCGTCCCTGTGCCACTGTCTCACTTACAAAGTGTGTGCACTTTATCCTTCCTAAGCGTCTCACTGCGGGATCCTCTGAGCATGAAAGGGGCCCCGTGAAGCCAAATTGCCTTCTTCCTGCCTTTTCCAGCGTCCTCCAGTTCCTCGTCCCTCTCAAGGAGACACAATGAGCATATTCAAGTCCTCTCCAGCGGACTCCTGCATGAACAGAGTGAGTGCCTTGCTCTGCTGGAGGGTGACAGCTACCTGGGGCGGGGGCTTGGAGGCTTTCATGCTGACTCAATACCCCACGCCAGCTTTCAAGGAGCTGCGAGGAGGGGAGCACCCGCCCCTGCTGGAGAGGCGCCTGGTCCCGGCTCTGCTGGCCAGGGGCGTTCCACCACGGCATTGAGGAATGGCGAGCTACTTAGTTGTCCTGGAATTCTGCCTTCCTGGTTCCTTGGGGGACGGGGCAAGTTGGTCTGCTTCCACCTTCGCTCCCTGCCGCAAGCCCTCATCAGCCCCGACAGCGCCCTCCGAGGCCCCACTCTCCAGAGCACCCAGCAAGGCCCCGTGACGGGCTCCTGCTGGTCTCTAGGACAGGAGGATGGTGCTTTAACTCTCCATGCCCCCACCAGCTTGGGATCAAGGTCTGATATTTTTAATAAGCAGATTCAAAGAAGACAGCGAGGGAAAGCTGCCTTTGAAATTCATCCCATCTCAGGGGGCTCCGAATCCCACCTCCGACAACTGCGTGGCTGTGTCAGCAGACTTCAACAGGATCCACAACAGGGTCACCTTACACAGGGCCCTGTGATTGGCTGTGACTGTTTGACTGGTAACAAAGAGCCACGGGTTCTTTCAAAATGTGGGCCAGCCTGGCCCAGGCTCAGAGGGAGAGACCCAGCGTGGGCCCTCCAGGGCCTCCTGGCCGCAGGTCCAGGCCCTCCCCGCAGCCTGTGACCTTCTCTCTGCCTAGCAGGGCAGGCACTGCCATGTGGCGTCAGTCATGCCCCAAGCCATGCTTAGGTTTCAGTGCCGTTGCAGGGTGAGTGTGGAGGAGAGAATTTAAGTAAATAGCCACAACTTGTTTTAAGTATGATTACGGCCCTGCAGTGAGCAGGCAGGCTTCAAGTGCCACCATGCAGCCAGCTATTGCTGGGTTGGTCCCAATTAATAGGCAGCCCAGTCCCTCAACTAATCAGGGATTAGCTGCCTACGCCCACCTTGCTCAGCTGTCACTCACGGGAGGCTAATGTTTCCAGTGTCTAGTCTCAAAACCTAAAGATGCGTGTGTGTGCGCACGCGCGTGCGCACGCATGTACCGGGGTTAGAACTCCGGGCAGCATGCATGCTAGGCAAGCTCTCCACTGAGCTACACCGAAGCCCTCAATACCCAAGTTAAGTTAGAGAGAAAGAAAAAACGAGAGGGAGAGAGAGAATGGAGCGGGAAGGGGAGAGAATTGAAATCAAGAAGCTGGACGGCTTTTATGGTGGACAGTGGCTGCCGCCGGCCGTGCTTCTCAGCAACCTGGGCCCCACCTGCCTCAGTGGGCAGGAAGCATCCGGAGCCCCTTGCCCAGGACAGGGGCACCTGCTGCCTCTACAAGTTGACAAGGCTCCTTCTGTTCTTCCTCAGAAACATGTGACAGTACCTCCAGATGACCACAAAACACCTCTGGACACAACAGCCCCAGATCAGCCGAGTGCTGATATGGAGAGATGAGGGGCCCGTCTGGCGTCTGGGTGCACCTACTCGGGGCGTAGAGTCCCATCTGGCGTCTGGGTGCACTTGCTGGGGGCTTGGGGTCCCGTCTGGCGTCTGGGTGCACCTACTCGGGGCTTGCTCTCGGGGCTTGCTCTCGGGGCTTGCTCTCGGGGCTAGCCCGGTGCTCCTTGAGACCCTAGTGTGGGAAGTGTCTGTCGGAAGCTTGCCAGGGAGCTTGGGAAGCCCTGAGGACCAGGAGAAGAATTACGAAGGGGTGGCTGCCAACCGTGGGGTCCAGGGGGCCTTGAGGAATGAAAACAGCCCCATGGCACAGAGTCTCTGGAGCATGGTGACACAGTTTCCGGGCGATGGCTAAGCTGGGCCATTTAGAAGAAAAATGCTCTCCCTGAGAAAGAATTCCCAGGAAGACCCCTGGAGAGATCCTGCTGTCTGGGACGAGCGCTCTAAACTGCAGCCTGTGGGATGAAGGACAGAAGACGCAGCCCACAGCTGCCCAGAAGTGAAGGCCAGGTGTTGGTCGGCATAACCAAGGAGCTCGGGAGTGGCTGG